CAGCTCTTACGACTTTTCGTCTTATACCTTGACTGCAATAGCCACTATTCCTGTATCACGAAATGTAGCGATTTGACTGGATCGTACATCAACGAATACAGCCAATCAGGACCCTCGACAGAAAGTACGTAAACATTATGGACTTTTGTTCACAAGCTTTCAGTCGATATCTATGATTGGCTGTATCCGCTAGCTTACAATCCAATCAAATTCCAATCCGATAAAGGAAGGTGGCTATTACAGTCAAGGTATAAGTACGAAGTTTCGTAATAGTATTACTAATACATGTAGCTTGAAATTGTGAAGATGATCCTTATCCAATTTCCACTTCCTTCTTCTGGTGGCATCTGAAATATGAAAATGGAATGTCTGTTATATTTCTTCTTACAGCTGGTCAAGATCACCAGACGACTCCTCTTCCAATTTCTCAATGAAGTATCTGTTTCATTCAAACATTATGGCTTATTGTTTACAGACTTTCTGCCAAGAACTCTGATTGACTGTATTCGCTTTTGTACAATCCAATCAAATCGCTCCCTTTACAAACTTTCCTGATGCAAGAATAGTAGTGGTTATTACAGTACAAGTTGACGAAGTTAGGCACTTACCTTGACCTTGACCTTGACTTGGACCTTGATCTTGATCTTGATCTTGACCTGGACCTTGACCTTGACTTGGGTCTGGACCTTGATCTGGAGTTGGGTCTGGACCTTGATCTGGAGTTGGGTCTGGACCTTGACCTGGACTTGGGTCTGGATTTAGGTCTGGACCTGGACTTGGGTCTGGACCTTGACCTAGACTTGGGTCTGGACTTAGGTCTGGACCTGGACTTAGGTTTGGACCTGGAGATAAAATAGTTTTTGATCAATGTCATTTGCCTTACGAGTGAGTGAAAGACAATCCCATCCAATAGTTCTGTCAAATGGGACTGAAACAGTAGGCCTTCTTTGGTAAAAGTCACACATGGACTTCAATGTCTCAACAAAATGAATGGAGGTCCTTGAACTTTAGTGGGTTGAGCCTCCTCCCTCGGGTAGTTCAAAAGATGATAAAGTTAATTGCTCTAAGCTGTTTAAGATTGCTTGGCAAAGAAACCCGTTATATAACCAGTCTTTCAAGTTGGGGAAAGTTGATAAACTCAATGGCAGAATGCCATCAGCCTTTCTAAAGTTAGAGCAAAGGTATCCCAAGTGACATGGTAAGTAGGCTAAGCACCCTGATTTCTTGAAAAAACCAATAACAGACTATGTGACAAGCTTCAGTTAATTCAGATAGCAATTGATGGGAGCTAACTCTTATTAGATAGATTTTCAGACCACAAAAAACTCTTCTTGAACCTCTTTAACAGTTTGGTTTCAATGATGTTATTTTTGGTTCACAGCTTTGCCCCTTTGCTAAAAACTCTGCCTTAAGTAAGGTTCTTCAAGCTCTAGCCTACGTAGGCCTATGTCTAGGCTAAGGCTAGGCTATAAGTTGGGTTAAGCCTCGCTAATAGGCCTATTATTTATAAATTCACAAAGTAAAAAAAAAAAACGAAGTAGGCTAGGCTTAAATTTCCTACTTTTTTCAATCTTTTTCTTTTGTAGTAAGTTCTAGCCTTATTTTCTAAAGCGTTTAAATATTTTAAAATAAAGCCTTATTTAGTCGTTACTGAAATAAGCCTAGCTTATCTTACCAATCTCAATGATAATTTACCTCAAATTTTAAATCAAGTTTTTTTTAATTTAGATGTCCAAAACTTAATTAAAAACTTGTTCAATTTGTGCTATGTATATAAATAAAGATTTTTAAAAATAAAATTTCAATATTTACAAGTTTTTTCCATATTTTCGGGTTCACTTAAATCGTGTTCCGTAGCGTCGCTCATCTTCTTAGCCTTGAGGATAATTGACGTCGAATTACGTCTTAAGCCTTCCGCTCGTTGCATAGCAGTAAATTATCACTACGCCTCTTACGAACGACATTTTAATTTCTATTTTGGAACTTTTTAGTCAAAGTGGCAGTAACAAATCAAGATAAGCGCCTGAAGTGCTTTGGTTTCGCCCAATTTGGTGTATTAAGCGTCTAGTTCTGTTTTTGCCCTGGGACTATTTTGCCTACTCTTTGCCAAAGACGAAGTAGTCTGTCAGAAAGACGAAATAGGCTCCTTTCTTTGAGTTTTATGCCTACTTTTTAAAACTTTTTGATTGGCCCTAAAATCATCATTCTTATTGGAATTTTTGCCCTGAAATCATGACCTATGGGATGCAACCCCTACTAGGCCTATTAAAGAATGTTAAGCCTACCCTACTTAGCCTATAATTTGTGGAGAGAGAGTCTCACTCATACAGAAAACAGACTTCAGTTGCGTTTGGTTGATCTAGGATATCTATAAATCCCTGTCCGGCCCCAGCCTAGTCTTTACTATGGTCTGGATTCGATAAAAAGAAGTCAAAATATAACCAATAATAATGCAACAAACGTCTAAACTAAGCTAAGTCTAGGAGGCTTACTCAAGCAAACTTCCCCAGAAAAATACGATACTTGTGATAGCTCAAGATTATTCAAGTTTATTCAACCAAATAGTAATTAATGGGAGCTAATTACTATCAATTTACAAACCACAAAAACTCTTATTATTGATAATTAAGAGTTAACTGTGGTCTTTAGTCTGTCTTAAGGTTGTCTCTCTTTGACCCTTTTTCACCAGAAAGTAGCGAAATTTTCCAGTCGTCTGTTTTCATTGAAATTACGCTCTGGATAATCTCAGCTAAGTTGAAGGCCGTTTGGTTGAAATGGCGGAGGTTCAATCTTTTTTTTTCTTGAAATTTTCAAGCCATTTACAGTCTATAAGTAGTCCTCTAACTTCCACGCACAGATGGAGAAAAAAGGGTGAGTTTTAGATGACGAGTGGCATTATGCGAGCTGGCACTGTTAGATTAGAAATTAATGTATGAAAAACAACTTTAAATGCTGAAATCATGCCGATGGGTCTAAGTCCAAGGTTTTGGTATTGTGATTTGGAGATTCTATTATTACAGTGGTGTAACCTATTTTCGTGCATATAATTATTCAACACCGACTTTCATCAAAGTTAAAAAAAATAATTTTTTTTTCTGTCTTAAAATTGGTTTGTTTCGATTTTCTGTATGAATCCGTCACTTTGACCCATATTTCATGAGCAACCATTTCGGCAACGGAGGCAGAATGTGTCACCTATTTTCGTGTACAATGTTTGATCTATAAATAAGTCTAGAAAACACGTTGTATGTATACCCAGTGGTATAATTAACTTCTCTTAGTGATTTAAAAATTAAATTGTGACTGACAAAATAAGGTACGTAGCGTGATTTATTGCTAAAAGTCACTGAAACAACATAAGAATATGGTCGACTTTGTGTTCCATAGAAATTTTCTGGTGACAAGGAATCCGCTAATTGATCACGTGACTTCCTTCGTTGGACTACATTCTAGCAGACGACACTTGGAATTCCGATTACCACTTGGGATTATAAGGAAATTCGGCCGATAAAAAATGGTGACGTTTGGTAATAACTGAAATCCGCCATTTTGTATTTGTCAAAGTATACCTTAATACATTTTACCTTGGTTGAAACTACTGAATTCATTCTACCAGCTGATATTATAGAGATAACCCATGTTTATCGAAACAAGCAAGTGTGGAGGTCACGCGAGGTCGCACATGTAAATTATTAATCATTTCAGGAAATCCACGAAAAATAGGTTAGCACGAAATTAGGTTACTTGACTGTACTAATGTAATTGCCAAATCAACAAGTCTCTTCAGACTGAAGCTCAGAGAGTGGGCCAAATCACTTCTATTTGCAGCCCCGTCGCCAGGAATAAATTGGGCTCAGAATTAATAAATACCAAGAGTCAAAGAACTCATTTCTCTGAGAATTTTGAGCTGCCAAAAACGTATCAAAATCTGTATCTTTTTGATTTTGTACAAAGACACTGTAAATGAATCAATCTCTGATGAACTAAAGAAGGTTTAGCTGGGTCTTAATTCTCACTTGCTGGGGCCCAGCTCCCACTGACCCCACCCTAATGACAGGGCTGTCTATGTCAAAACTTTTCTTGCCAATGACAACCCTCTCAGACGCTCCATAGGAGACTTGCGCCTATCTTTTGCCACTTCCACAGATCTGTCTCATTTCAAATTCAACCTCGAAAGTTATCCCCCATTTTGTCTGCCTGCTATCAGTAAGATATAAAACTGAATTAATTTGATTAAAAAACTTTTTTCATTCCAGGCAAATCAATTCAAGTTGAAATGAAGTGTTTGAAAATAAAATTCAAAATGGTGGAAGGACAAGGTTGTTAGTTTTCTACAACTGATGATCTAATGAAATGGACAATACTACGCAGTGTACAATGAGGAATATTTTGCCAGAACAGCGGCATAAGCCTACCCTTTTTTGATTTCCAACTCTAAAGGGATCTTTAACGTGCACAGGATGTAGCACACAGGACCTCGGTTTATCTGGACTTTTTTTGCTCAAATATGGACTCAACCAAATACTTTTTTTATACCCCCAGGGCTATACAAAATTTAAAGGTGCCTGCTCACAAATATTTTGTACAAAATGTGCCTGCAATAACGAGGTCAGAGAGAGCAAATACGATTTTTGAAACAGATAGGCATGTTAAGTACTTAAAGGTCATTATTAATTTTTCTTAACAGTAATAATTTTATCAGGAAATTTAAGCTAATTTAGCTAATAATTTTAAGTTTTTTTCTCAAATGTCCTGATTTTCTTTGTGTATTTGTTATGATCAATAGCTAATTGAAATTCCCAGTAAACAGAGACTCTACTGATATTGTGATGAGATTTTCCTAAGTCAAGGGTAATAACTCAAAAACCGTTCTTCAAAAGATCCTCAAATTCAAACTTGTCTAAGATATTATCAATATAAATGATCACACCACATTTCATAAAAATCAGTTGAAAACTGTAGTCTCTATTGTGTTCACTAACAAATTTTGACGTGTTTTTCCTAAGACAAGGGCGATAACTCAAAAAGTCATTCATTGAAAAATCGTCAAATTTGATCCAAAATCTCATCAATATACATTAAGTTTCATTAAAATCAGATAAAAACTGTAGTCTCTATTGTGTTAACAAGAAATATTGATTTATATTGATAATTTAAATGAAATGAAATTGTGTTAGAGTTTTATGTCTTTTTATTTCTATTGATGAGATCTTGGTCAAGTTTAAATTTTCAACCATTTCACTCTGTTGCCCTTCAAATATAAATTTCAGCTATCCATAGCTTTTTTATACGCCCACATCTCTCTATGTGGACGTATATTGTCGGCACCCCTGTCCGTCCGTCGGTCCGTCCGTCCGTCAACATTTGCTGATTTCTGACAGCTGATAAGTAATATCCCATCCGTATACATCATGTCTGAATAGCTAGGTTACTCCCTCCAACAATGCACATAAAATATCAATTCTCTAACTTGAGAAAAAATGAGTCTAAATTCACAGTGGACTTACCTGGTGCCTTAACAAAATAACATGCACCCTATTTATGAAAATAGATCCATTAAAGATGGGTCTCCTTATTTTCTAGTGCCAAATTAAGCAAACTATTTGATTAATTTGTGTTTTTAATGAGTTATCATGTATTCTTAATCATATCATTATGTTCTTATTGCATATAATTAAGAGTTTTAACCAATCATAAATGTCCATGTATGTACAGTCTGGATAAACAAAAAAAGAATTTTTAACCTTTCTTGATCAGTCACTCATTGGAATTCTGCTGGTAATTCTCTTCTAATTTAGTTAATTATGAATTAATTATAGACATGTGAGACAAACTGGTATTTTTCCAAGTCATTAGAACACATGTATTTTCTATTCATATAAGTATTAGCATTTTCATTTTCATAATTACTTTTGTAGTTTTATGGATTTATCGGGTCATATGAGAGAATTCTGTTGTAAAGTTTAAACACTAGGTGAGTCCACTGATGAATAAATACTCATTTCGGACAAGTTTAAAAAATAAATGTTTTGCTCATCCTTAGAGGTAGTGTTCTTTTAAGGGATGATTTTTTTGGAGTAGGGAACCTCATTAGCTTCCCAACATTTCACTAGTGATGTCAACCCACCACCCCAAATTTCAGGTTAGTTCTGATACTTAAAGTAAATAAAAAAAGATTTATCATGATAAACATGTTTTAATTAACATATTTTTTCTACTATGGTACATCTATTACTTTCATATGTCGAACCATCAGGTAGCTCAGCCAGGCTAACGTTCAATAAAAAGCATATATTGTAAAAACCTATAAAACTGTTCAATGTTACACAGTCACTCCTCTCCTTACACTTTTCAATGCATTGATTTAGATCTAGATCATTTGACACAAAGATGACTGGAGCTTTGTAATGAAGACAATAATTGACCTCAAATAATGAAGCGGTACACCCAGTAATAGATTTACAATTTTCATCACATTGGTCATCTTCAGTTGACGTGTAATCATAGTTAAAGTAATTCGATGTTAAACATGTTTTATTCAAATACTTGTAACTACATTCTGAAATAAAAATTATAGTATTACATGACATCCTTAGGGTTAAGATCATCTGAGGTCGATGTTAAAATGAAAATGTCAAATTAAAATTTGGATGACAAGTGTCTCCCTCAAAACTTGAGATACAGGAGCAGGAGCCGCTAGGTTAAAGGAATACTTCCTCTTATAATGCACGTACAATTTAAATTCTTTGCCAACATGAGTTTTTGGGCTAGGATCATCTAAGGTCGATGTCAAAAAATGAAAATTTGGAAAACAAGTGTCACTCTCAAAACTTCAAGCTGTTAACACCAGGTACCCACTATCAAAATCACCAATATAATTTATCAAACAAAATAAAACTGGAGCCGTGGAAATGGTTCTGAGGCAGTGAGTATCCGACCTGCTACATCGGTGAAAAGTTGCATTTTAAAGTTATAATGAGATTTTTACTAGAAAAATGGCTTTGGTAGTAAAACGTCGACCAGTATATTGTTCAGTAGTAAAAAGATGTATATATTTTATAATATCCTAAACCTACTATTACCCTAACTTCTGTAGTAAAATGATGTATATATTTTATAATATCCTAAACCTACCATTACCCTAACTTCAGTAGTGAAATGGTGTATATATTTTATAATATCCTAAAGCTACCATTACCCTAACTTCAGTAGTAAAAAGATGAATATATTTTATAATATCCTAAACTTACCATTACCCTAACTTCAGTAGTAAAAAGATGTATATATTTTATTATATCCTAAACCTACCATTACCCTAACTTCAGTAGTAAAAAGTTGTATATATTTTATAATATCCTAAACCTACCATTACCCTAACTTCAGTAGTAAAAAGATGTATATATTTTATAATATCCTAAACCTACCATTACCCTAACTTCAGTAGTAAAAAGATGTATATATTTTATAATATACTAAACCTACCATTACCCTAACTTCAGTAGTAAAAAGATGTATATATTTTATAATATCCTAAAGCTACCATTACCTTAACTTCAGTAATATAAAGTTGTATATATTTTAAAATTTAATTTTGATATTATTTGTTGCCATTATTTATTTCTGACTCAATATACTACCCCCCAACAATTATGTCATCAAGTATTTGTCTCAAGAACTACATGTTAATTTACTATTTACAGACAAAGATGATTTAAAATGTGTTTAAGCTAGTAATCCATGTTGCTGAAAAGAAAGTTGCCTTCAGTAAACCTCTGACTCGGACTCTTCCAACAATAAAAAAGCTAAGATAAATTTCCCCCAGATATACAAACTTTGACTTTAGATTCATAAAGCAACTTTTAGATATTAAATAACATATTTACCGGCATCTACAAGAATCACCATTACGGAAATCAACAGCTCGGAACATAATAGGTTATTCATGGTTTTAATTCACGTTAGGAAGACCTGTTGATATTATGACTTGTTGATACACTGTCGAATGCTAGATTTGGTCACGTATTTATAGTAAATACAAAGTCTCCCACTGAACAGATGTTTCTATAAAGACTGTCAATTAATATTTTATACCAGCAGATCAATGATAGATATCATACAGAATTTTTATTTATTCAACACAACTTTTTAACGAAAGGTTGCCATTAATATTTCACCAAAATATTCTACAGATCAACTGTAAAACAATAATATTACTAGAACTGTGAACAGCTTAACCTTTGGCTTTTAAACCTTAATGACATAGAATAACCCAAAGGAAATGTTATAGTACCCCTATTTTGTGTTTTATTTGCGTTCAAAGTTGATACCAATAACAATAACGGCAAACAGAATGCTTTAGAACAGCAAACAGAAAAACTGTCCGAATCTAATAAAGAAGTTAATAAAAGGTTTGATGATGTCATGAAAAATTCAAAAGATGATATGAGGGACTTAATAGAATCATACAGTGATATTCAGGACACTATGGTAGACTTGCAGTGTCGCTCAATGAAAAATAATCTTATCTTCAATGGTATACACGAGGAACGAGATGAGGATACAGAATACAAAATTAGAGACTTCATATACAACATATTGAGGATAGATCAAAAGATAGAATTTGGAAATGTACATCGATTCGGGAAAGTTAAAGCAGGAAAACAGAGACCTATAGTGGCCAGATTTATATACTACAGAGATCTGACACTGGTGAAACGAAACGGATACAGACTTGAAGGTACTAAATACGGAATAAATGAACAGTTTCCTGCTGTGATCGAGCCATACCCCGTTATCAGAGATCTCAAGGCAAAAGGACACAAAACAAAACTGGTAAGAAATAAACTATTTGTTGATAACGAACTGTATGATAGTCTAAGACACCAGTCTCATGAACAGCCACAGAAACAAGACAGACCAATCCGACCCATTAGAGCCTGGGAAAATGATAAAAGACCACCTGCTAAACGTCCAGCCATGTTCAGCTCCTCATCAGAAGGATCTCCTAGAATCACAACATAGGACAACGCCGAGAGAGAACTTAGTGTTATTTCTTGGAATGTGTGTAAAGGTATCAAGAAGAAACTAAAAAGTGTATTTTTAAGCCTTATTTGTAAATATGACATAGTTTGTTTGTATGAATGTTGGATGTCAGAAAACGATGATCTGTCCATCCCCACTACATTGTACATAGTTTTCCAAGATCCAGTGGCAAAGGTGGTGGGATTCTAATTTGTTTCCATAATAGAATTGCTCCTAGATGCTAAATAGTTGGAAATATTGCAGGTTGTATTATTGGTATTAAGATGTGTGTCTCAGATGTAAATCACAATGATATTATTCTATTTGCTTGCTATTGCCCAAGGTTCAAGCCTCATTGACTATTTGTTATTCCTTTATTCAGAAATTCATAATCTAAAATCGTTATGTTCTGGGATTTTTAATCCATTTTCAGACCATGCACCTTTAAGTTTTGTATTAAACATAAAATTATTTGATCCTCATATTAATGTTAAAGAGTGTGATAAAAACTCAACTATTACAATCACTAAATGGAACAAAGATAAAGTCAGTGAAATTAAACAGTTGTTAATTGATAGTCAATGTGAGTTAGTAAATACGTGTTATATAAGTGAACTAAATCAATACTCAATTGATGTTAGTGTTAATAGTTACTCCAAAGTTTTATCTGATATCACCTCACCTTATTGTTGTAAGAGTTTCATAAGTACAGGTAGTCAGAAACGTAGTAGAGTTAATAAACCCTGGTTTAATGATGAGTGTAAACAACGTTTTAAGCACTATAAGCATGCTCTTCACGCTTTCAATAAGGATAAACAAAGCACAATCATATTATGTTAATTCAAGCTAAATCCCAATATAAGAAACTTGAAATCAAACTGAAACATATCTATAAAGTACAACAAGGAAATATGATGAATTTTGTACGAAAACACAAAGATTTTCATACACACTTTAAGAATATCTCATCGGATCTCCCAGGAAGCATTGACACAATTGACGAATTTTTAGCAACCCATGATGATGCACATCACTCATATGAATCTGATAAGGATCTCGACCAACCCATAACCACTTCTGAAATAATAAAAGCTATCAAAAAATTGAAAGCGAGTAAAGCATGTGGTGGTGATAATTTATTAAACGAACTTTTTATTCATTGTGTAGATGAACTTTTACCATCTTTAAGTGTATTATTTAATAATATTTTAAACTCTGGTTGTTTTCCATCAGCTTGGTGTGAAGGACACATTGTCCCTGTATATAAAAATAAAGGTGATCCAAATCTCCCAGAAAACTATAGAGGTATTATATTATTAAGTTGCATGGGTAAATTATTTACCCAAATCTTGAATATTAGACTACAAAACTTTAATGAAACATATAAAATCATTTCACTCAGCCAATTTGGATTTAGAAAAGGGTTATCAACCACGGATGCAATATTTGCCCTACAATCCTTAGTTAATCGTACTTTAAAGTCAAAGAATAGATTAGACTATAAGCCGCTTTCGATTCCAT